GAGATCATAGACATGTGCAATTAATTTCTGACAAGGGTGCCTAGACAATTTGATGGGGGAAAGAATAGTCTCACTTCATCAGATGATGCTGAGACAACTGGATATTCATATACATAAAATGAAGTTGGCCCCCTACCTCACACCATATAAAAAGTTAACTTTTAATTAATTTCTTTTATTTATATGTGACAGTGGAATGCATTACAATTCCTATTACACATATAGAGCACAATTTTTCATATCTCTGGATGTATACAAAGTATATTCACAAGAATTTGTGTCTTCATACATGTACTTTGGATAATAATGTCCACCACATTCCATCATTTCTAACCCCACGCCCCCTCCCTTTCCTCCCACTCCTCTGCCCTATCTAGATTTTGTCTATTCCTCCCATGCTCCCCCTCCCTACTCCACTATGAGTCAGCATCCTTACATCTGAGAAAACATTCAGCATTTGGTTTTTTGGGATTGGCTAAATTCACTTAGCATTATCTTCTCAAACTCCATCCATTTACACAATGGAATATTACTCAGCAATAAAATAGTTAACTCTTGATGGATCAATAAGGGGGCAATCAAAACAGAGCAGGTAGGAAGAGCATGAGAAGAAGATTACCATTAAATAGGGATGAGAGGTGCGTGGGAATGGGAGAGAGAAGGGGAATTGCATGGAAGATGGTAGGAGACCCTCACGGTTATGCAAAATTACATATAAGATGGTGTGAGGGGGAAGATAAAAGAGAGAGAAACGTGTCACAGTAGATTGAGTAGAAAGAGGTGATGGCAGGGGAGGGGAGGGGAGGGGGGATAGGAAGGGCAGCACAATACAATAGACACTAGTATGGCACTATGTATAAACGTGGCTGTATAACCAATGTGATCCTGCAATCTGTACAGGTGGAAAAATAAGATTATGTACCCCATTTGAATCAAATGTATGATATGTCAAGATCATTGTAATGTTGTGAGCAGCTAATAAAAAAATTAAAAAAAAAAGAATTACAACCATAACTGGGCATGGTGGCACATACCAATCTCAACAAGTCAGGAGGCTAAGGCAGGATGATCATAAATTTGAGGCTAGCCTGGATATGGCACCAGAAGCATGAGCAACAGATTAGAAAATTGATACACTGAGCTTCATGAAAAGTTTTAGATTTTGTGTACCAAAAAACTTTGCTAAGAGAGTGAAAAGGAGAATGAGAGCATAACTCAATGGTAGAGAGCTTGGCTAGTATGCTGGAGGCCCACTTTGATCCCCCTCTGCAAAACATTTAAAAAATAAAAACGAAGACCTACAGAATAGAAGAAAACATTCAAAAGTCATATACCTGATAAGGGCCTAGTATCTAGAATATTTAAAGAGTTTAATCCAAAAACAGGCAAAGGATTTATGATGGCCATTTTATCTTATTAATCTCCTAACAGACTAAATTGTCACTGAGTAGTTCACTTCAGAATGATTAATTTTATGTTATGTGAATTTCACCTCAATATGTTATTTTGAAACATTTTTTTTTTAAAATTTTCTCTTTAGTTGTAGGTGGACATAATATCTTTATTTCATTTTGTGTGGTGCTGAGGATCAAACATAGCGTCTCCTGTGCACTACCCGAGCGGTCTACTACTGAGCCACAATCCCAGCCCCTGAAACTTTTTTATTGTGGCAAAATACACATAACAAAATTTACCATGAGTGACAACATTTAGTACATACACCATGTTGTGCGACCATCACTTTTTGTTCCAAAATATTTTTGTCATTTTCTCAAAAAGAAAACCCAGTACCCATTAGCACTCAGTCATTCCCTGTTTTCCTCTCCTCCCGTCCCTTGCAGTCTCTAATCAGTTCACTTTCTGTCTCTATGCCTTTGCCTATTCTGGACATTTCAGAGAAATGAGATCATCATATGATCCTTTTTGTTTGTCTGCTTATTTTGTCTATTTCCTTCTTCTACCAAGAAAATATGGGAGGAGGGAGGTATTTTTGTTGTTGATATGACTTTTGCAAAACAATAGTCAAATATAAATGTCAGCTTTATGTAGTACATGAATGATTATAAAAAAATAATAAAAAGGATGTGGAGGATGTGGAGTGGTAAAGCACCCTTGGTTTCTATCCCCAGTAATAAAAAACACAAAGAAAAAAAAGAAAAAGAAATACTTATTGATTTCTTTGTACACCAACCTGTGTAAAGCCTGAGAGCTCTAGAGGTAAACAAAACCCAAGTGGGGTTTCTGCCCGTTCTGAAGCCTACAATCTAATGGGAAAACAAATATTAAATAGTAGTACAGCTGGGTGAGGTGGCACATGCCTGTAATCCCTGAGGCAGAAGGATCGAGAGTTCAAAGTCAGCCTTAGCAATGGCGAGGTGCTAGGCAACTCAGAGAGACCCTGTCTCTCAAAAAAATACAACACAGTCCAAGTCCCATTTTTCTTTCTTTTTAACATGCTCTATACTATAGAAATTGTATTCATCTAAATAAATCGCTTGAATTTAAAGTTGGAAAAAAAATAAAAAAATAAAAAAGGAGAGGTTTAAATTTTCAGATTTAATGCCCCCTGAGCCCCAGGGAATGTTAAGAATACAATATCATAATCTGAAATTATTTTAGAATTTCCTTCATATCACCAAAAAATGAAGGTCACTAGAAGTTTGGAAATTTTCTCTCCTCATTTTTTTAAAATATACCTCTAAAATGAAAACTTTATCTTTACAAAAAATTCTTCAAAGTGGCTGCTATTATTTTAAATCATCATTGGTAAAATTATACAATTAGAAAAATATATCTTAGGGTTAAAATTTGAATACGTGTAAAAACAATAGATTTAAAGTGAGACAAAATCATGGAAAGATAACTACTTCTCAAAATAAATAATTTTTATTTTCAAATTAAAAAAAAATAAAACACAGGGCTGGGGATGTGGCTCAGTGGCTGAGTTCAATCCCTGGTACCAAAAAGAAGAAGAAGAAAAAAAGAGCACACAAATTATTATGTAATTAAATGTGTTGTTTTATTCTAGGACCTCTGTGGATTTTTGCTCCTAGCCTCTATCTCCTTTTTTCTAATTATCCTTTTGTTTTCTATTTGGGAAACCACACCTCCTCACTCTCAGGCCATGTAGTAGACTAAATAATGGTCCCCTAAGGACATCCAGGTTGTAATTTCCTTTTTTTTTTTTGAGAGAATTTTTTTTTTAGTATTTATTTTTTAGTTCTCGGCGGACACAACATCTTTGTTTGTATGTGGTGCTGAGGATTGAACCCGGTCCGCACACATGCCATGCGAGCGCGCTACCGCTTGAGCCACATCCCCAGCCCCCAGGTTGTAATTTCCAAAACCTATGTGCATGTTATCACATAAGGTATATGGGACTTTGCAGAAATGATTAGGTTAAGGGTCTCAAGATGTGGAGATGATCCTGGATTATCTGGGGAGACCCAGTGCCATCCAAAGGGTCTTTGTAAGAGAAGGGCTGGAGGATCAGCCAAAGGAGGTGATATGCTAATGGATGCCCAGATTAGAGTGACGTACTTCACAGATGAAGCAAAAAGCTACAAGCCAAGAAGGCCTATAAAAGCTGGAAAAGCAGAAAACAGATTCATCCCTAGAGCCTACAGAAGGAACCAGATTTTTACTGTAGTCCAATGAATCTAATTTTGGACATATGTGTTCCAGAATTTGAAGAGAATAAAGTCTGTTATCTCACCAAGTTTGAGGTATTTTGTTACAGTATCCATATGACCCTAATATAGGCCATGTGCTGGCAAGGAGGGACCAAAGCTTCCAGAGTCGGAATCCCTTGGCAGAGGAAGGAAGTATCCAGTGCGAAAGGCCTTCCTCATCCAAGAGGCCCCTTCTCTAGGTTGAAACCTGGAGGGCAGGGATGAGTCTCTCCTGTCTGCTGAGCAATCCTAAACACTGGTTATGGTACCAAGAGTTGATACTACCTACCTGTGAGAAAGGTTTTGTGGCTACTTCCAGTTGCAGGGGAGGACCCCCAAGGCTTAAAGTGAGTCAAATAACCAGGGTTACGCAGCTGCTCAGGTTGGAATGAGGACCTAAATGAGTCAGTTGGACACCAAGCTGTTAGCTCCTGACGGCTGTGTTACTCTGGGTGTATTGAAATGTACATCTGTTGCTGAAATGAATATATGGCCCAGCAAGTGTGCCAGCCTGGATGGACACTGAGCCTGAAGTAAAGAGGGGCTATAGTTTGGAATGTGCCCCAGCAGGGGAACTACAGAAATGTCATGGACAATTTCAACTGAGTAGATTCTAGGTGCTCCCTTCCCTTTAGGCCCCTTTCCTCAATCTGCCCACCCTTGTCATGAATGGCTCAATTGAGTAGTTCAAAGGGGTCTTTGTCCTGGATTTCTCATTTGCTTTAAAACCCTTCTTAGCAGGGTACAATGGCTTACACTTGTAATCCCAGCCACTCAGGAGGCTAAGGCAGGAGGATCTTGAGTTCAAAGCCAACCTCAGCAAAAGTGAGACCCTGTCTCTAAATAAAATATAGTGTAGGGCTGGGGATGTGGCTCAGTGGTCAAGTGCCCCCGAGTTCAATCCCAGATACACACACACAAAAGAAGTACTTCTTAAAGCCAAGGGATTCTTTTGTTCAGCCTGCTTCTTTTAAAAGAGAAAAATCTCCTTGGGAGGGTGACAGGCTGCAATGAGCCCTGCTTAGGAAAAAGAGCCTCCTCCTAGTCCCCACAAGTCCCTATTTCCTTTGGAGGCAAGCTTTTGTGCTGAGTCAGACTGGCTGTCTTCCAGCCAAGAACAGAAGTGGAAGCTGCAATGCAGGAGCCAGTAAAGAAACTATTTTTAGGTTCCATTTTAATCGTATTCAGCACAGGCAGTGAGATACAAGGACTGAAGGTGGCCAGACCAAGAGGATGCCTACAGGGACAAAGTCCCAGGTAAGTAGGTCAGGAAAAAGACAAGATTTTGCTATGGGGAAGGAAAGAAGTGCCTAGAGGCTCGAGACAAAATTGGGATATTCCCAGTAAAACCTTCTCCTTTCGGGGCTGGGGCTGTAGCTCAGTGATAGGATGCTCGCCTCACACGTGTGGGACACTGGATTTGATCCTCAGCACTACATAAAAATAAAGGTATTGTGTCCATCTATAACTAAAACATTCAAAAAAAAATTCCTTTTACAACAATAAACAAACTTTGGTCTCCATTATAAACACATTCGGTAAAAGTGGATTTATTGACTGTTTCTCCTGCCTGCTAAACTGATCACTGAGCATCCCAGGATTAAGATTTTCTGAGGGAGAGGCCTATCACTGAGCTCCTAAGACAGGAGACCAGGTGCAAAAGACAGAAGAGGGGAGCTGCTCAGAGAATTGAATAAGGGAAAAATAAGGGAGGAAAGTACAGCGCCTTCCAAAAAAAGACTAGGGCACACTGCACCTGGGGAGCTTGTTAAAAATATCCTTCCTTGGCCCATCTCAGGTCAACTGAGTCAGAATAGTGGGAGTGGAGCTTGGAATGTGCACTTCGGTTCATTTCCCAGGATAGGTGATGCAGGTGCAGTTTGAGGGCCTTTGGGCAGGAAAGCACCTGTGTTGGGTACTCAAAGGAATTATGACAGGCCAAGGTGAAGGAGAGGCTCAGGTAGTGGTGGTCATTTGGTGGCTACTTAAGGTACTGTTTTCCTCTCTGGCTGGGCTCCAGTTTCCATATATAAAACAAAGGGCCCTAATAGGCCTTTCCTGTATTGATTTTTTTTGGGGGTGGGTGGAGGGCAGATATAATTTTTCTGACAAAACTCTCCAAGAATACTCTGTGTCATCCTTCACTTTGTCTTCTGATGGAGGATCACGAAGGAGGTAAGCTTAGAAACATTTTCCGAGGACTTCTCCTAATCCCAAGAATCAAATCATTATCTAGGGGGACATTTATCATGTTATTTACAAGAAGATTCTCCACAAATGTCATCTGGACTCATTTTGCCATTGTCTCACTGGCCAGCAACTCTGCACATGATTCTCTAACATCACTCTCACTGACTTCAGGAAATCTTGCAAGATTTAGAATTATGTTGTATGATGTATTTGTCTTCTATTTATACTGCACTGTCAAATATTTATTTTTTTTTCATTATTTATTTTTTAGGTGTAGATGGACACAACACAATGCCTTTATTTTTATGTGGTGCTGAGGATTGAACCCAGGTCCCGGCTGTCTAGGCGAGTGCTCTACCACTGAGCCATAATCCCAGCCCCTGCACTGTCAAATATTTAAAGTACCCATCAGAGAGAATCCAGTCATCATGGATAATGAAAGTAGTAGTGAAGAGCTGGAGCAGGAGGAACAGGAGCTTGTGCTCGTTGGCTCTGACTTTGGCTTCTCCACCTAACAGCTGAGACCTAGGAAAATAAATATGAAGATAAGAAACACTCTGCCCCAAGCCAGGCGCAGTGACACATGCCTATAATCCCAGCAGCTCAGGCAGCTGAGACAAGAGGACTGCAAGTTCAACGACAGCCTCAGCAATGGCGAGGCCTTAAGCAACTCAGTGAGACCCTGTCTCTAAATAAAATACAAAATAGGGCTGGGGATGTGGCTCAGTGGTTGAGTGCCCCTGAGTTCAATCCTTGGGACCCCCCTCCCTGCAAAAAGTTATGCGCATACTAGAAGATGGCATCTCCTTACAGAATCAGAATCTCTTGTTTGCTTTTCTTGGCCACCTTTTAAAACGCTCTTTCACACTGTATCATGGCTCCCAGCTGCCCTCAAATCATAAAAACACCTCCTTAAGGAGGCACAAACAAAGGCTGTTTGGTCAGGTGACACTTTAATAACCTTGTATCTCCAGAAACTATCAAGAGCCACATGTGGCCAAAGCAGAAAGCAGAGGCCTAATACTCTGGGCAGCAACAGGCAGAGTAGCAGGTCAGCGATGGCTGAAGAATCCTTGAGGATGGTTATATTTAAATGGCTTCATCCTGCTTGGACCCCTAGAGAAACAGGAGAAGGAAAAGCAGTTAATACCATGCCTCCCAGACTGATAAGTTACAGTTCACTCACAGAGGGAATATCATGTAGCTGTTAGAAAAAAAGAAAGGGGGACAGAGATATATGACACAGGACATTGTGAGAAAAACAGACTGTAATACAATAAGGTGTGACACTATTTTTGTAAAAAGTCCCTATGTGCTTGCAAATGTGTAAACAAAACCTGGAAGGGCCCTCAAGAAGATGGGCACTGAGGGGACAGGGATTGGGCACCCTCACTTTTTAGATTATCATTTTTTTTTTTTTTTTTTTTTTAGAGAGAGAGAGAGAGAGAGAGAATTTTTTTTTAATATTTATTTTTTAGTTTTCGGCGGACACAACATCTATGTATGTGGTGCTGAGGATCGAACCTGGGCCACACGCATGCCAGGTGAGTGCGCTACCGCTTGAGCCACATCCCCAACCCGATTATTATTGTTTATATATATATATATAAAATAACAAACATGCTTTGTTTCTATAATTTACATCATGTAAAGAAAAAAATTAAATATTCCTTGTAGGGAGATTCCCATGCAAGCAAGAGTCTGGGACTAAAAAGAATCTGCACTACCGCGTTCGGTGGCGCACACCTGTAATCCCAGCAGCCTGGGAGGCTGAGGCAGGAAGATCACGAGTTCAAAGCCAGCCTCAGCAAAAATGAGGCCCTAAGCAACTCAGTAAGATCCTGTCTCTAAATAAAATACAAAACAGGGCAGGGGATGTGGCTCAGCAGTTGAGTGCCCCTGAGTTCAATCCCTGGTACCAAAAAAAGATCTGCACTATCTGCCAAGAGCTATGGGTTTATACTTACTACCTCTTAGGTGCCACTTCTATCACTGTACAAATTTTACAGATGAAAAAACAGGTTCGGGGGGGGGGGTTTAAATTATCTGCTAACACTGTATGGCCAGGAAGAAACAGAGCCAAAATTTGATAACAGGTCTGATGCCAAGCCTGTTTGCCCCAGGAAGGCTGAGAGTCATGGCTGGGCAGGGCAGGACCTGAATCCAAAGCCTTGATCCTGTGAAACATAGGTGCTTCAGCTGTAATTCCGGGTGCCCTAACAAAACTTCACATGGGGCCTCTTCCTCACAACTCCACAAGCAGTGGATGTCCAGCAATAAAAGACTCCTTCCCCATTTCTGTCTATGATTGAAATTCAATGGTAACCAAAGTGATGTCCTGCGTCTTGTTTGTGTGCATGTGCGTGTACGAATGTGTGGCAGGGATTATAAAGAGGGGAGAAAGATTTTTATTCCACCACCAGTGGCTGAGGGTGTACTCAGCTTGCAGTGCTTGGCACTTGCCACACTCCATCTCATTTAATTTCATCCTCCCAGTAACACCTGAGGCAGGTGCTGTTACAGATGAAGAAACTAAAGCTCAGAGGGGTTAAGCATAAGCTTAGCCTAATCACACAGTCAGAAGCTGGAATTTGAACTTTCCAGAGCCTCTTTCTGGCACTGGAGTCCTGGCTCACATCTATGAGATCACTTGTCTCCCAACACTATAAGAGCACAGAGTCACCAGGTTTAGGTACAGTGCTGATAGAGAAGCCTTAGCCTGGCAGTCCCTGGCCACGGGCTAAGTTGCATCTTAGGTCTCCTGCTGCTCACACCAGCACTCTGAACTTGGTCCCTTGGTTCAGTCCCAATCCCAGTGATCATCTGGACTCTGGGCCAAAAGCTTCACATCTCCCATCTGCCAGTCATGGAGTTAATTAGATCTGAGTCTCAAAGCAGCACCTTTCCACAGTGTAGACAGAGGAGTTAACACTTCAGGAAATGGGTCTTTTGGGAGAGATCTGAGAAGAGGAAATAAGCACAGGGCATATAGGGGCTCCTACCCTGGAAATGTGCTACAGTGAGCTGGGAGGGTAGGAAGAGCTGAGGTCTCACACTGACCCACAAGGGATAGCAGATCCTAGAAGATTCTACAAGAGTCACCAGCTTTGCCTCCCTGCTGCCACATGGGAGTTTATTATTAGTTAACACAATAAACCAACCCAGTGGAGGTGCTGGGACTGCTTCCTGGGGATGGAACTGCATCTGAGAACAAGGTGAGGGCAAAGTATAGCACCATTCAAACTGACAGGGATAAGAAGGGTGGCCCAACTAGAAAGAGCTCGAACTCCACTTGGAAAGGCCTGAGCAGTAACTTCAGTTTTAAAATGTATAAAAACAGGAATTAATGGATGAAAAGAAAACTAATGCCAAAGAGAAAGGAAAAACAGCCAGAACTGACGTGAGCCCAGATACTAAACATCAAGGTAAGGCACTAGGATCTGCTGACATATTCTGAGGAGCTATCTTATGCCAGGAACTACCTGGAAACTACATGAATCATCTTGGATTCACAATGAGCTAGAAAGGTATGCTTTTACCACTTCAGCCGTAGGGAAAGAGGCTCAGGGCTGAGTAGTTGCAATGACTCTTCTGTGGTCTCTGCACTCATCTGTCTCACTTGGGAGCTGGTTCCTCTGTGCTGCTGACTACGCACAACCAGAATCTCCAGACAGGGAGCACTCTAGAAGACTACCTGGGGACTATGACATGCACATTGCTTAAAATACTGATTCAGATAGTTAAAAGCAAACAGACTCTACTGTTTTTCCATAGAAAGTTCTGGAAGTTCAGCCACATCCTCTCAGTTTGTGGCCTGGCACTATTTCCTTGGTTGGTTGTTCATGGAGAACAGGTGAATCAGGCTGCAGGAATCAGGAAGGAGGGCATAGCTCTCCCCCAGGAAATCTGGCAGTAGGATTTTAATTTCTGCTCTGAACAGAGGTAAACGCACCTCAAAAAGCACATACCCTCCATGTCTGGCCCTGAGAGAATTGGTCTCCTGCAAGACTTTGATCTCTGCTCCATCTCCCTTCAAGAGGTCACCAGAAGGTTGAAGCCCGGGCCCTCCCTCACCTGAAAAGCCGCAAACACATCTTCTCCTGAGGAAATTCCTTGGGCCCCTCCACACTGTCATCGTGACTCTCTGTCTCCAGGTAGACATCCAATAGCACGCACAGCCGCTGCAGTTGGTTGGTTAAGAGCTGGTGGCTGGGCCGGGGACCGCACAGCTCCTTGTAGCACACATTGACCTCGCTCTCCATGGCCTGTGTGGGTGGGAAAGCCAGCACCTTAGCACTACCTTCCTAAGGGTGGCTCACTGCATTGGCCAGCCTTTTGTCCCAGGGTGAGTGTGAGGGTGCCACAGGAACTGTGGCTGTGCCTCAACATGAGCTATGCCTGCAGATAAAGCCAGACTGCCTCCTACTGAGGCCTCCTTTTCCTCTATACAATAAGGTTTTCCTGATCCTGACCCATGACTTTCCCTGCCTCAAATACCCACAGCCAGGAACACATGTATGGAGAGAAAGAATCTTGAGACAATAGCCAAGTCAGAAGGTACTAGTATTAAGACATCCTTTATAGCAATAAGTCATATCAGCAGGTGTAACCCTAATTAAACAGAGTGATTTCATCAGTTTCTCATTCCAGAGCTTCTGTAATGCTTCTGAGTTTACTCATGTCTTCACAGAAGTCCAAAACAACAAACTTTCAAGGCAAGCATTCCTATTTTATAAAAGGGGAAACCCATGAGCACCAAGGTAGGTGAGCAAGTGAGATGAGCCTAAGCCTTCTCTTATTATAGGCTTTGGCATACTTAGTGCCCATGACCTCAGCTGAGACAGGTTGTGACTGCCCACCTCTCCATAAGGCTTTTCTTGTTCCTCCTGTCACCCCTCACCTCCTACCCTCACCCCATGGGCCTCACCCGGATGTTGTCATCATTGCTGTTGGTTTTCTCCCCTTTCCAGTTCAGACAGAGCTGGAAAATGGGTGGGATGGAAGAGTAGCCAGGGTTCAACACCACAGCAGCCTGGAGTTTGGCTGGGAAGAGAGGAGAGGAAAAATTAGTTCTACCACCCAGTTTCCCAGTATGGCAGCCTTCCCACAGTACCCAAGGCCAGCTCAGATGTCTCCTATTAATCCAAGTGCTGCAGAGTACACTCTGGCACTAATTGTTCTAGAATCTCCTAAGTGGAATTGCAGAATGTGAGGTTTGGTAACTCTGGTCCCTTCAAGGACTTTGTTCTACTTGGTGTGCCACAGAGCTATGAACCCTCCAGCTTCTGGCCTACCTTGGGTTTACCCACAGGCTCAATTTGCCATCTGAGAGAATTTTTATTGTTATTTCTTCATATGCCAGGTTAAGGTGTGGTGTTGTGTTTTGTTTTGGGAATTGAACCCAGTGCCATTTTACCACTGAGCTTCATCCCCAGCCCTTTTTATTTTTTCTTTGGAGACGGGGTCTAAATTGCTTAGGGCCTTACTGAGGGTCTAAATTGCTGAGGCTGGCCTCAAGTTTTTGATGGTCCTGTCAGCCTTCCAAGTGGCTGGGATTATAAGTGTGCATCACCATGCCAGGGCCCCTAGCCCTTTTTATTTTGATACAGGATCTCACCTAAGTTGTTGAGGATTTTTCATATGAAACTTATTCTATTGTTTTTTTCTTTTCAACAATATTGTTATAGGGGCTGGGATTGTGGCTCAGTGGTAGAGCGCTCACCTAACACGTGGGAAGCCCTGGGTTCGATCCTCAGCACACATATAAATAAAAACAAAACAAAGGTCTAACTACAATTAAAAAAATAAAAAATAATAATGTTATATAATACCAGCAGTTATATAAAACATTTTGTCTATTCTCTTTCTTTTGTTTTTTATATTTTGTTATATAAAATTCTTTCTTTCTTTTCTCTTGTTCTTTCTCTAGTTCTGGGACTGAACTCAGGGCTTATGCTAGGTAAGCACTCTATCACAGAGCTATGCCCCAGCCAACATTTGTTGAGTCCTTACTGTATTCCAGGCACTACTAAACACATTTTATTCCATCCTAACTATGATTCTGTGAGATGGGTACAATAATCCTGATATACAGTTTATTAGGTGACAACTGGGGCTGACAGAAACTACCTCACCACCAAAGAGCTGCAAAACAGTAATGCTGAGTTGAACCAGAACTGCCTGATGTCAGAGTTGCACCCATAATTTTTAAACAAAATATCTGTATTTCTAACTATATTCATTTTTCCTCTGGTGACAGCCTTTGCTTTTTCAACAGGATGACATTTATCCTCTCTACCCATGGGCACTGTCTTAGAACTTGCTGTGATTTGCATATAGTTTGAGTGTGTCCCCTGAAGGTTTATGTGCTAGAAGGTTGGTTCCCTGTGTGGCAGTGTTGAGATGGGGTAGAACCTTTGAGAGGCAGGCCTAATGGGAGATGATTAGTTGGACACTGCCCTCAGAAGGGATTAACATAGTTCTGGTGGGATTCTGGTTAGTTCCCATATAAGTTGCTATAAAAAGAGCAAGCCTGGTCCATCCATCTCTCTGGCTTCCTGTTTCACCATGAGCTCTCTTCCACAAATGCTCCTGTCCTTGTGATACCATTGATAATATTAAGTCCTTACCTAATCTTGGAATCTCAGCCTACAAAAATGTGAGCTAAAAAAATCTCTCTTCTTTATAAAGTATCCAGCCTTAGGAATTTTGTCACAGAGTCCCCAGATGGACTAATACAGAACTAAAAACAACTTCTATAGCTTGGTGATTATAGCAGCAAACCTAGGAAATGAGTTCTTGTGAACAGGGCCAGGCTTGCTGAGGCTGGGGTGAGACAAATTCCTTGAGCACAGGATTTGAGTAGCTCCAGCAGGAAGCCTCAGAGCCAGATGCTGGAAGAGGTGTGAGGAATCACAGCTTTTGATGCCTCTAAAAGGAATACAGGAGTGGAGAAAAGGAAGGGGATCCAGGGCCCTGCTCTTTTTTATTTATTTTTAATTTTTTTTTTTTTTTTAGTTGTAGCTAGACACAATACCTTTAGTTTATTTATTTAATTTTTATGTGGTGCTGAAGACTGAACCCAGAGCCTTGCACATGCTAGGCGAGCACTATACTGCTATGTCACAACCCCAGCCCCTAGGACTTGCATTTTTTTTTTAAATATTTTTTGTTGTTGTAGTCAGACATAATACCTTTGTTTTATTTATTTATTTTTACATGGTGCTGAGGATCAAACCTAGGGCCCCGCGTGTGGTAGGTGAGCGCTCTACCGCTGAGCCACAATCCCAGCCTGGACCTGCTCTTTATAACCTGAGAGTGACACCTCTGCCCTTCTGAGGAGAGGATGGGGGTCTGATGCTTGACAGTGGTTAAGCAAAGGGTGGAGGGCTCAGGCTTTGAGGTCATCCCAGGTGACCTATAAAATGGGAAAGATCCTATCATCCCCAAGACTATCGTGAGGATTAAATGAGATAAAGGGTAGATGTGAATGCATTACAGAACAAGTGCTTGCTGAGAGAAGCTCTCACAATCACTGTTTGCTAAGTCTCTGCTGGCAGGATTCCAGGATCTTTTGCTTCCTTTGTGGCAACTGGGGCTGACAGAAACTACCTCACCACCAAAGAGCTGCAAAGCAGTAATGCTGAATTGAACCAGAACTGCCTGATGTTTGATTCTTGGGGGCTCCCCTTATCTAGAACCATTGTCAAGAGCAGAGAAATCACCTACCTGTGCCCCTTTCAACAAGCGCCATATAGTAGAGATTGGTGTCCCCAGCCAGTCCTGCCTCTACAATGTCTTTGGTAAAATGCAGATCCTAGAATAAGCACCATGAACAAAGACTCAGTTGTTGTCTTCTCTAGTTAAGCCCCTTGCACTTCTAGAATGGGCAGGAGCTAAAAGGTGACATGATCAGTATTTGTGACCTGTCACTCCTCCACTTACCATGTAATCCTCATGAGCAATTGTCACCCACTTCACCAGGCGAGACACAACCTTGGCAGGGAAGAGATACTGGCAATCGCTGGTAACTGGCACAATGCCATGTTCTAAATGATAGCAAGACAGGTGATGTCATGTGTGGAAATCACGTACCATAGCTAGCATCTGTCCAGGGCTCTCTGGAGGACTATGGTGGCCCTCTATCTGTCCAGGTACACCTGGCACTCAAGAGACACAGGCATACCAACCTGACCTTCACCCAGAACTATGTGCATATGCACAGACACAGCACCAGCATTCACAGTGCTTTATCCTTAATGCAAATGTTGGCCAGCAAAACAAACCCTGAGGCCAGAACTAGTTTCTGGGCCTCTGCAGCAATGACTGTTAATTAGATCAAATAGCTGAGAGGGCTGCCGTTTTCACAGCTGACCTTGACAGAGGAAGCCAGTGAAGTGTTTTGTGTCAGTTCCTCTAAGGGAGAAGAGCTGGAGAACTGCTCCTGGGTAAATTCCTGCTGGCAATTCAATAAGCAAATATGCCAACACAGTAAATGCTGTCCTGGATGACAATCACTCAACCTTGGGACAAAACAAATTCAGCAATGCTGATAGGGAGCAAGGCCTAATGGACAGGCAATGCTGCCCTGCAGAGAACAGGGTCCATGTGGAACCAGTGAAATAGCCTGGGAGGTGGGATCTCTTAATGGGTTATGGAAAAACAATGCTTTTCCTGACAGTGACTCAGAAAGATCTGACACTCCCACCCTGCAAGTGCTGTACACTCTGTAAACCAGTTAAGTATTTACCAAATGAATAAATTAAAAGCCCCAGATGGCTACTACCTAGGTCAGAAGTTTATCAGAATCACCTAAGAGCCTAGGAGAAAACACAAGGACTCATACTACCCTAGGGAGTATCAGATCAGTAGGTCTTGAAAAAGAGATGAGAGTGTAGATCCACAGTACAACGGTATTCAAATGTGAGCACCATGAAAGCAGGGGCTCTACTGTTCTTTCCCCTTCATTATGCTTGGCACCTGGCATGAACCAGATTCTCATTAAATACTTGTCAGATCACATCATCATCTGTGATGAATGATCTAGGATGAGCTGCCCTGATCAGCCCATGAACTTGTGACACCCAAAGGTTTGGGGCCTCTTCTGAGAAGGCAGGACAGCCCTCATGATTCTGCAGGGAGCTCAGAACTCTGCCTAGATGGGTCTGCAGCTCTCCCCAATGGCCCTGACAATATCCCTGCTCAGTGAAGCCATAAATCCATGTCTCTTTGATTAGAATTAGGAAAAGCTTGTCATTTTTGTCCTGTGTTGTCTGAGTGGCTGTTAAATCCCAGCCCTAACAGTGACTTACCCAGGGATGCAAACTGTTTGTGGAGGGCCAAACGGGACTGTACCCTGGTCTTCAGCAGTTTCATCGTGGTTTCCATGTGGCTGGCACTCAGTGAGTGGTCAGCGATCACTGTGTGCTGTGAATGACAATGAGAGGCATATACCTGACAACTCCCCCACTTCCTCCAGGGATTTGCCAGCCTGCACAGCCTGAATCATCCATGCCCTAAGGTGCATGCCACTTAGGAATGGCAGGGTTTACCCACTATGAATGGCCACACATTGAGTCCTCGAAGGAACAACATAAGTTGCTGGGTTCTCAAGAGACTGTGGCCAGCTCCTGAGAAAAAGCAGACTTCTGCTAAGGTGCCTGGTCCTCTGGGATTTTGTTCATACCTCATTTTTGGCATCCTTCCACACAAAACTGAGGGTGGCAGAACCTGAAGCCATGTTGCACCCAGAGAAGAATCCAAGTTACCTTGGTCTAGAAAGCCACTAGGCTTACAGAGAAGGCAAAAGGCACATTAATACTCATAGCCCCAGACATTTGAGTGTACTGAGTGGATGGACAGAGAATAGATCACAGTCCCAAATAAAGACATTCTGCTAAAATAAGCCCACAAAGGCCACCAGAAGCCTTTCTGGAATCTATACAGGAGAGGAGACATAGAGCCCTTTGTCCAAAGAGACAGGGTTAGTGTACATACCTGGGGCTGCTCTTTGGGGAAGTGGAGGCCACCCAGCTTCTGTACCCACAAATAGGGGTGACCCAAATCAAGTACATAGTCTCTCAAAGTCAGGATGCTACAGAAAAGAACACACAATAAGATTATTTAAATAATGTCTGCTGTAGTCCCTGGATATAGCCTTCTCCCATCCTCCCATGTCCTATAGACAGGAGGGTTCACAGACTCAACCATGTTCACAAACAGGCAGCCCACAAAGCCACTTCACTTCATCAGGTCCTTACTGGGAATTTCATCTCTCCCACAATTGCTTTCTTCTTTTCCCCCCTGCAGCCCCAAGTCAAAAGCAAATAAAAACCAAAAAGGCAAAGGGTGCACTGATCTCTTCATTGGCCTACCAATTTATAAAATGCTGGGGCTGAGGATTTGGCTCAGTGGTAGAATGCTTACCTAGCATGTGCAAGGTCCTGGGTTCAATCCCCAGCACCATGAAAAAAAAGAAAATGTTTCATATGGACTGGGGGTATGGCTCAGTGGCAGAATACTTGTTAGCATGTGTAAGGACTTGAGTGTGATCCCCCAGCACACTGAAAAACCAAAACAAAACAAAAATGCTACATATTTTTAATATGTTTTTTTTTGTTGTTGTTGTTGCTAGGTTTTTTAAAAAATTGTACTGGGGATTAAACCTAGTGGTTCTTAACCATTCAGCCACATCTTTAGTCCTTTTTTGATTTTTTTTTAAGTTGTAGAAGGACACAATATCTTTACTTATTTATTTTTATGTGGTGCTGAGGATCGAACCCAGGGCCTCACGTATGCAAGGCAAGCACTCTACCACTGAGCTACAGCCCCAGCTCCCTCTTTTGTTGTTTTTTTTTTTTTTTTAACTATTTTTTTTCAGTTGTAGATGGACATAATACCTGTATTTTGTTTTTATATGGTGCTGAGGATGGAACCCAGTGCTTCACATATGTGAGGTACGCATTCTTATCACTGAGCTACAACCCCAGTTGCCCACCCCCGCCCCACCTTTTTTATTTTGAGATAGGATCTCATTCAGTTGCTTAAGGCCTCACTACATTGCTGAGACTGGCATTGAACTTGTGATGCTCCTGCCTCAGCCTCCCAGGTTGCTGTGATTACAGCAAACCTGGCTATATATGTGTTCTTTCAGTTTTTGTTTTTGTGGTGCCAGGTACTGAACTGAGGGCCTTGTGCATATTAAGCAATCATGGGAAGCTACAACCCCTGCTCTTATCATAACATACTTTTCAACTTTTCTATGACATTCCTTTGCCTTGAAAGCAAGAAAAGTGCTGCCTTCTGTCCTGGGGTCTGCCTTGTCCCCTGGGTGGCCACTGGCCCTAACAAATCTCCACCTTGGGCTTGAGCCACCAGAGATACTCAAAAGCATAGAGGTTGGGAGAGAACAAGATGCAGCAGACTCACCCAACTTTATCAAACTGATACTGATTGGCTGGATTCGGAGTTTTCTTTCCATGATCTCCAGGATACAAACAGCTCAGGACAGAGTCAGGAGATAGCAAGTCCCTGCAAAAGGGAAAAGAGGCCACAGTGAGAATGCCAGCCAGAATCTTGCCTTGAGGTAGACCTGTGCATCTGAAGGTGAGTGCTTTCTATGGGCCAAACCTTTTATGTGCTGAAGTTACTGGATTGTGACAACAATATGAGGTAAGGAGAAATATTATTTCCGTTTTGAAATACATGGATTGTCCAAGCTTACGCTGCTGGTAAGTGCTGGAGCAGGGTTTGCACAGTCTGATAAAAAAGAGTAATAATTTATATAGATATTTTGTGGGGGTACCAGGGGTTAAATCCAAGGGCGCTTATCCACTGAGCCACATCCCCAGCTCTTTAAACTTTTTTTTTTTTGAGACAGGGTCTCACTAGGTTGCTTAGTCTTGCAAAGTAGGTGAGGCTGGCTTCAAATCTATGATCCTCCTGCCTCAGCCTTCTAGGCTGGTAGGATTACAGGAGTATACCACCACACCTGGCTAAGAATAGTATTTTTAATCACCAAAAAAAAAAAATTTTTTTTTTTTTTTTTTTTTTTTAAATATTTAGTTTTTAGTTCTCAGCGGACACAACATCTTTGTTGGTATGTGGTGCTGAGGATCAAACCCGGGCCGCACGCATGCCAGACGAGCGCGCTACTACCTGAGCCACATTCCCAGCCCTTTTTTTTTTTTTAAATATTTATTTTTTAGTTTTCGGCGGACACAACATCTTTGTTTGTATGTGGTGCTGAGGATCGAACCTGGGCCGCACACATGCCAGGAGAGCGCGCTACCGCTTGAGCAACATCCCCAGCCCATCACCAAGTCTTTTATAAAACTTACCCCTTCACTAGGCACAGTGGTGCATACCTGTAATCTTAATGGCTCAGGAGGCTGAGGCAGGAGGAGCCCAAGTTCAAAGCTAGTCTCAGCAAAAGCGAGGTGCTAAGCAACTCTATCTTTAAATAAAATACAAAATAGGGCCGGGGATGTGGCTCAGTGGTTGAGTGCCCCTGAGTTCAAACCCTAAAAAAACCAAACCAAAACAAAAAAACCCTACCTCTTCACTTCAAGAATTGTATGGTGGCCAGGGCCTTACCCTGGAGGAGCAAACCTGCGCACACTAGCAATAATTATAGTAATAATTTATTTTGTTTACATGTGAAGTTAGGTTTTCTGCTTGTTTTTTGGTTTTTGTGAGCACCCAAGGCCTCACTCATGTCAGGCAATCATTCTAACACTGAGCTACATCCCAGACCTATGTTTTTATTTATATAAACTGCATGTATTTATGGTGTTCAGTGTGATAATTTGATATATACATACAATGTGTAATGATCAAATCAGGGTACTTAGCATTTCTATCTCCTGAAATGTTTATCATTTCTTTATGTTGGGAACCCTCAAGCTCCTCTCTTCTAATTCTTTAGTCCTTCATAACATACAGTAAGTTATCATTCTACTATGCTGTAGAACATTAGAACTTATTCCTCCTATTTTGGACCTGTTATCCAATTTCCCAGCATACTCCCTTCCCAATAAATATTATTTTCACAAAGCACAACACATCCCTTTCCATTCCAAAGAGAAAAAGTATAGAGCTTTGACTTAATCTCATGATAATCACAGAAAAAGCCCTCCTTTATAATCCTAGAAAAAGATAACATTACAAGTGCTAGAGACAAGGTGACGCAATGCTATAAGCAGAGAAAGACAGTTTCACTGTTGCCACCCACCTAGGATGGTTAGGAGACAGCATGTAATTAAATGTGACAAGCAAGAAGAGATGGTGCGGGGATAATGTAGTAATTTTTATCACAAAGGACAACAAGGCCATTGTTTTCTTGAACCAACAGAGGTTCTCCTTCATCTTTCTAAGGAGAGCATCAGGAGCTACTCATCGGGACATGAAAAATGTGCTACTGAGTCACAGGAATGCCTTTAGAAACTTAACATTAGGACAGTGGTAACTGCTGGCTCTTCCCTGTTCTGTCTCAGAGTCTCTCTGCTGCCCCTGGGCCTCTGCTCTTTTCTCTGTCTCACACAGAGAACTGGCCAGAAAACTCAAGTTTTTCAGTCTTTCAGTCTTCCAGCATGTCACACATGCTAAGCTAGCAAGCTACCACTGAGCTACAACTCCAGCCCCATCTTTTAGTCATTTTTTGGGGGGTATTGGGAATTGAACTCAGGGGTGCTTAACCACTGAGCCACATCTCTAATCCTTTTTTATTGAGATAGGGGCTTGCCAAGTTGCTTAGGGCCTCACTAAATTGCTAAGGCTGGCTATAATTTGCTATCCTCCTGCCTCAGCCTCCTAAGCTGCTGGTCTTACAGGCATGCACCACTGCACCCAGCTAAGTTTTTCAGTCTTTTAGTCAGATTGAATCAACCCTAATAAAAGAAAACAGATAACGTACATGACAAAAAGTTGTAAACCTTGGTCCTCAAACATCACATATGTGCTATTACACAAGTGCTCTACCACTGAGAAACACACCTAACCTTTTTTATTTTATTTTGAGAGCGTGTCTAAATTTCCCGAGCTGGCTTTGAATCTGCAATCCTCCTGTTTCAGTCTCCTAAGTAGCTTGGATCATAGATATGCACCACCATGTCAGCAACAACAAGGGTTTTTTTTACAGTTTTTTTTTTAAACAGTACTAGAGATTGAATTCAAGGGTGCTCTACCACTGAGTTACAACTCCAGCCCTTTTTAAACACAGTCTTACTAAGTTGTTCAGGCTACTCTCAAACTTACAATCCTCCTGCCTCAGCCTCCTGAGTCACTGGAAATATAAGTAAATGCCACTGTGCCAGGCTATTGTAAAATTTTGATGAAAAGGGATTAAAAAACCTTAGAAAGGGGCTGGGGCTGTAGCTCAGTGGCAGAGCACTTGCCTAGCATGCACGAGGTACTGGGTTCAAACCTTAGCATCACATAAAAATAAACAAATAAAAGGGCTGGGTTTTGGCTCAGTGGTAGAATGCTTGCCTAGCATGTATGAGGTACTGGGTTTGATTCTCAGCACCACATTTAAATAAATAAATAAATAAATAAACAATAAAGGTCCATCAACATCTCAACATCTAAAAAATATTTTTAAAAAGATAAAGGCATTTTGTCCATCTACAACTACCAAAAAACAAAACAAAACAAAAAAACCTTAGAAAGTCGGTGTGGTGGCACATGCCTATAATCCCAGAAACTTTGGAGGCTGAGGCCAGAGGATCATGAGTGCAAACCCAGCCTCAGCATCGTAGTGAGGCTCTAAGCAACTCAGTGAGATCCTGTTTCTATTAAAATATAAAAAAGGGCTGGGGGGGCTGGGGATGTGGCTCAAGCGGTAGTGTGCTCGCCTGGCATGTGTGCAGCCTAGGTTCGATCCTCAACACCACATACAAACAAAGATGTTGTGTCTGCCAAAAACTAAAAAATAAATATTAAAATTCTCTCTATATTTGTCTCTCTCTCATTAAAAAAAAAAGGGTGGGGGGGCTAGGGTGTGGCTAGGTGGTTAAGTACCCCTGGGTTCAACCCCTGGTACCAAAAAATAAAAAAATAAAATGAAAATAAAAAACCTTAGAAAAGTAAAAATGATTAAGAAAAGTTTAACAGGGCTGGGGTTGTAGCTTAGTAGTAGAGTCAATGCTTAGCACACAGGAGGCCCTGAGTTCAATCCCCAACATCCAAAACATCAACAACAACAACAACAACAACAACAACAGAAAAGAAAAAGAAGAAAGAGTGGATAATGAGAAACCAGCTGTCATTTACCAAATGCTTCATCTATGCTAAACACATGACCTGCCTCTTCCTTAGGGCCCTAGTGGAGGGGATATTACAATTAATGAACAGAGTGAGGAAATAGACTTTGAGGTTAGACATACAGCTTACTGAGGAACTGGTATAAAGCATTAAATTAAGCCAGACAGCAGCCCTGTCATTAGCATAAATCAAGCAGACTTCTCCTAACAAGACAGCAATAGTGAGCTGGGTGCAGTGGTGCATGCCTGTAATTCTAGTGGCTTGAGAGGCTGAGACTTCAGGATTTCGAGTTCAAAATCAGCCTCAGCAAAAGCAAGACGCTAAGCAACTCAGTGAGACCCTGTCTCTAAATAAAATGCAAAATAGGGTTGGAGATGTGGCTCAGTGGTTGAGTGCCCCTGAGTTCAATCCTCAGTTCCCATCCACCCCCACCCCCACCCCCAAAAAAAGAGAGAGAGAGAGAGAGAGAGAGAGAGAGAACAATGGTGACATACCTGTAACCCCAACGACTGGGGAGGCTAAGGCAGGAGTTTGAGGCCAGTTTCAGCAACTTAGTGAGACCCTGTCTCAAGCTAAAAATAAAAAATGCTGGGGATATAGCTCAATGGTAGAATGCCCTTGGGATAAATCTCCAGTTCCACATACTAAAAAAGTTTCATCCCATACAGAGAGCACTAGAGTTACTCACTAAACCAAGAGCCCTGGCTGAGCAGTATAACTGGGCACTCAGAAGCAAGTCCTGGGCTCCCTCTGCTGGGAACAGGGTAAATTTCATCCAGTGTCCCCTGGTAATCAAGCACTTTTTTTTTTTTGGTACCAGGGAATGAACCCAGGGGCACTTAACCACTGAACTACAGCCCTAGCCCTTTTTATTTTTTGAGACAGGGTCTTATTAAATTGCTGGGGCTATCTTTGAACTTGCAATCCTCCTGCCTCATGCTCCTGAGTCGCTGGGATTACAGGAATGCACTACCGTGCCCAGCCCTACAACACTCTATTTTTTTTTAATCTGTATTTTATTTATTTTTATGTGCTGCAAACCAAGTGCCTCACATGTACAAGGCAAGTGCTCTGCCACTGAGCCACAATCCCAGCCTCTCTACAGCACTCTTAATGTAGAGAGTACTGATGCCAAAAGGGGACTAAAGGAGACACCTGAAAAGAATAAAATTAAATGTATTTACAAACAAATAATAAAGGAGTCACTCTATTGTCAAGCAGAATGAGAAGGGGTAGGAAGAGCCCCACTCTACCAAGTGCCAAACCTATGCCCCCCTGATCTGGGCAGGGCCAGGAGTACTGAGCTGGAGTGGTATTCTTTTTCAGTGGAAGCTAGTCCATCCCCAGGCTGGCCCTCTTTGTCCTCACTTTTTCCTACACCTGGCTGTAGAGCGAGACTCACGAGGTCAGGTGAGTTCTGGGGATGCTATGGCGGTCATTCTCATGCCTCTGCTTACTCTCCTCAAAATCTCCACTGGGATGCTTCAGTCCTCCACCCACCACCCAGGTAAGGACAAACCTGGGGATTGAGTGAGATGGAGAGCAAAAATCCCAGCACCTTGGGACAGAAAGGGAAGAGTGGCCTCATTTGTCAACCTTGTCATGTCTGCCAAATCTCATTTTTGTATTCACATGTTTTCCACTGGTTTCAATAGTTTGGTGGCTCTGCCCTACTCACTCAATTTGCATATATGCTGCTGGATTTATCATCTGCTGTGTAGTAAGAGGACTTCACAAATACAAGTCAGAGAACATTTCTAAAACCCAATGAGGTGCCAGGACTCCTAGGCCACAGGGACAGGACAACAGAAAACAAAGTGGCAGTGGGCTCCCTCAGGGCCTGAGGGAGAAATCAAGAGTAGCCTCCAGGCTGTCATCACACCCCATCTCACACCCCATACCCATAGTGACTGCCTCATACCCTGCACTGATGGGGGTGATCAGCTCTGTGGCAGTTGTTACTTTGGCTTTCACTGTCATGATGTTGAGGTTCATGAGGTAGTAGAAAGTCAGGTGAAGCACGCTGTCATCTGGAGGGGAGAAGGAAAAGAAGGTATCATTTTTGGGTCTAACAAAGTCAAAGTCTATAGTATTACAGAAAGAAAATTCAAACAGGCTTTACGATCTTCTACCATAAAACAAAAATGCAATTGCAATAATGTTGAACAAAAAAGAGCAGTGGTCTACAAATTCTTTGCTACTCTTCCCCATAAAAGGAGGAGGAGCTTCATTTCCTAACCCTTGAGTATGGGCTGAACTTGGTTATTCTGCTTCTAACAAATACAATATAGAGACGTAGCCAAGGTGTCAAGGTTGAAATCATTCATAACATAATGATATCATGTACTCCCGATGTGAGGTGATGATGACCACATATTTGCTACTCTTCTCCCAATTCTATAATCTCAATCTAATCAAGATCATGAAAGAAGAAAGAATGAGAAACCATCACTGCCCAAAGGAGGTTAAGGAGTATGACAACTAAATGTAATGTGGCATCCTGGCTTGGGTCCTGAAACAGAAAAAGGACACAATTTACAATAACGTTATAATAATAATACTTGTAGTTTAATAGTATTAGGCCAATGAAATTAACACTGGCTTTGATCACTATACTGTGGTTAATTAAGATGTTAACATCAGGGGAAGCTGGATAAAGAGTATATGGGAAGGCTGCGGGTATAGCTCATGGCAGAGTACATGCTTAGCATGCATAAGAATCTGGGTTCAAACCCCAGTATCCCAAAAACCCCAAACCAAAAGCATACGGGGATGTTCTCTATTATCTTTACAACACTTCAACAAGTCTATAATTACCCCAAGATAAAAAATTTTTAAAATGAAGGGCAAAGGAAGGACCAGTGTGTAGAGCATGTCATTTTTGTACAAAATAAAGAAGCAGAGGATAAATACACAGTTGCATAAAAGCTTCTAGATGTATAGAATACTTTTAGAAAATGGATAAGAAATCTCTATCAATGGTTGTCCTTGGAAGAAAGACCAAGGACTAGCATCTGAAAGTCTGGGTAAGAAGGAAATATTTCACTGTTAACTCTTACACTGCCAGAATACTTTATCATGTTCTACTTTTTCCTTAAAAAAACAGTTTCCAAATATATTCTCTGTGGAATTCCAAGCTTTAAATATATATTTACTAAATTAAAGATGTTAATTGTATTCAAAATCTGCATACTCTTGCAACTTATTCTTTGGATTTAACATGTTAAATTCAGAAAGAAATATAGTTTTTTTATCTTGCCTCTCTTATGTTTGAGATTTTTGTTGGCTACATTATTATGGTTATGACTTTAAAAAAAATCAAAGAATAACAAAGAGGAAAAACAGAAATAGGAGATCAAAATAATTTTGGGTGCAGAAAGGCTTCTGGCCTGCTGGACCCCCTCCATCTATGGTAGGCCAAAAAATTATGGGAGAATGAGATGAGTGCAGTCAGACCTTTGCACTTGAGGTCAAGTAGGACGGACAGTGGGTGTCTCTTTAGCATTTCCTTGCGCTTGTCATCCAATTGAACCCCCAGTGTGGGTCGCCGCCGTTTCTGGACAAAGGAATGAACCAAGATGATAATCACTGATCATGGCAATCTCTCCCCTTCTGCTCCCTCCAGACCTGCTGCTTCAACTCCCCAGGCTGCCCAGCTCCCCTCCCAGGAGCCCTGTCTTCAATCATCTTTCTTCTGCTTCTAGGGAGAATGACACCCATACAAGATAAAAGGATACTCACCGTGGTCTGCTCCTCCTCAGCATCCGAGTCACTCTCGTCATCTGCAGTTACACAGAGAAGGCAGTGAGAGATGAGAGGCCTCCAGAGGCTCCCTGAAGCCCCTCAACCAAGAGGCTCCAAGAGGCCCAGACTCTTGTTTCTTTAGAATAAATATTAATATGCTGCTTCTTATTCAGTATAAAAAACATGGCGATGGAAAAAAAGAAAAAAAGAATGTTTCATAATCTCACCACCCCTGATCTCTACAGGGCTTTTAAATATCACTTCTATGGAGCAGAAGTATATTTCCATGAGCCAGTAATAGTGATATGAATAATAATAAATACTCAAATAATTAAGAGTGGCTGCTATGTGCCAAGGATGATACTAAGGGCCTTGCAACCATTATTACCTCATCTAATCTGCATATCTACATGAGGCTACTGTAACTAAATTATGGCTCGAAAAATGTTGAATATCTTCCCTAGGGTCAGTGGACTAGTGAGTGGCAGGGCTGAAATCCAAAGTCAAGCACTGTTGACTCCAGGGACTGAGAGCTCTGCTCTTGTCTACCCCAAACACTGACACTAATATCAAGCTTCCTACTACAAAGAACCAGTCCAGCTACTTCTCAAAGGACAAGGAATGCCCTTGGGTGGTGACTAGGGTATCCCTGGAGGAGGTATCCCAACCACTATGTTACCTTGGGAGTCCTCAGGAGGCTTGAATAGAGCCTTGGCTTCGTCCACACTGCCTTCGATAGCCACAGACAATGTCTTATCTGGGGGCAAGAAAAGTTTCATGGGAAAGCTGCTGGGAAGGGCACCAGGCAATGCAGGCAAGCCAGCTCAGGGGCTGCGTGTCTTCTGCTTCTGCCCCATCTTTTCACTGACTCGGGTGGAGGGCAAAAGCCCTTTCTCCACATGGACAGGAACAAAATTGGAAACTTAAATCTTTTCCCCATCATTTACTGAGTAAACCAAATTCAATGTGCAGATTCCCAGACAATAATCCCCTGAAGCTAATGGTGAATGCTTCTCTGTTTAGGCTCACACCAAGGCACAGATATTCAAACCCAGGGCTAAAACCCCATGGAACTCTTCAGTTAGCTGTGCTATAAGTTCTCATTAAAAAGTCCACACCTGCCGGGTGGGTGCAGTGGAACATGCCTGTAATCCCAGCGGCTCAGGAGGTTGAGGTAGGAGGATCTCGAGTTCAAACCCAGCCTCAGCAAATCAGTGAGGCCCTAAGCAACTCAGCGAGATCCCGTCTCTAAATAAAATGTAAAAAAAGGGCTTGGGATGTGGCTCAGTGGTTGAATGCCCTGGTTTCAATCCCCAGTACGCCCTACCCCCGGCATAAAATAAATAAATAAATAAAATAAAAATAAATGAAACCAGTCTACACCTGTCTACCACCCTGAAACAACAGCTTTCACCTAAGTGCTTACTCTCTTCTGCATGACTCCAAGCACCTGGCTGGCATCATCTCATTTAGTAGGGATATGGATGCTATAGTCCAGTCCCAGACCTAAGTCCCTCATTCCTACTTTGCCTGAGCACATGGCCTGCAAAGTTAAATCACTACTCTGAGGGTCCACTGGTCTCAGGTTCCACATCTACGAAATGGAGATTAAATAAGTAGTAGCTGCCCTGTTGAGTGGTAAGAACTGAATGATGTTTATATAATTTTAATTATAAAATTATTTTTAAGCTGGGAATGGTGGCGCAGGCCTATAATCCCAGTGTCTTAGGAAGCTGAGGCAGGAGGACCACAAGTTCAAAGGCAGCCTCAGCAACTTTATGAGGCCCTAAAGCAACTCAGCAAACCCTATCACTAAATAAAATATAAAAAAGGGCTGGGGATGTGGCTTAATGGTTAAGTACCCCAGGACTTAATCCCTGGGACCAAAAACAAAAAGAAAAGTAAAAATATTTTTTAAGACTTGGGTATTTTTTGTTTGTTTGTACCAGGGATTGAACTCAGGGGCACTCAATCACTGAGCCACATCCCCAGCCCTATTTTGCACTTTATTTAGAGACAGGGTCTCACTGAGTTGCTTAGTGTCTCGCTTTTGCCAAGGCTGGACTCAGCCTCTCTAGCTGCTGGGATTACAGGAGTGGGCCACCTCCGTGGACTTAAACTAAATTTTGAGGCTGGGGATATAGCTTTGTAGTACAGGACTCACTTAGCATATGTGAGGCCCAGGTTCTATCCCAACATGGACAACAATAACAACAACAACAAAAAACCCAAAAAACAAAAAATAAAAAAACAAAACAAAACATTTTTTTTTAATGAAACTGAGGATCTGAGGAAAAGATTAAAAAAAAAAGAAATAAAGTTTTTAATCTTTATAACAATCTTGTAGGAGGTTGTTATTCAACCCTATTATAGAAGGAATAATATTATTTTAACTATTTAGATATGAAAAACTTAAGGCTCAGAGAAGTTGGAAACTACAGCCAGGAAGTAGATAAACCAGGATTCAAGTACAGGTCTGTGCAACCTGAGCTTACTCTCTCAAAACTGAGTTAACAGCCTGTTTCACATACCTGGCTTGAAGACACACTGAGTGACTCCTTGGGTCCTTCTTTGTGGAACTCTGGGGGCCTAGTGCTACAAAGTCAGGCACCCTTCCTTTTTTTTTTTTTTTTTTTTTTGGTGGTGTTGGGGATGAGACTCAGAGCTTGAGCTATAGCCCCAGACCTTCCTCTATCCTTAAGGGTATAGAAAGTCACATATGCCTGAAATAGTCTCCCAGCTGCATTAAGGAAGAAAGACAAAGTCCCTCAACATAGCTGACTACTGCCTTATCTCTGACAACCATACACAAACCATCACAGCCCGCCCCCAAATCAACTGGATCACCCCCCATCAAGCAATGGCAAATTACAGAGCATTCTCTTTTAAAAATGTTTATAGAGATTGAACCCAGGGCCTCACGCAAGCTAGGCAAGTGCTCCACCACTGAGTCCCATCCCAAGCTCCACACTGGTTGTTTAAGCTTGAATTCTGTAGGGGCAAAATGGGAGTAAAAACAAATAAATTTTAAATACAAAAAGAAAAGAAAATTACTCACCCTGTCTAGGGGGCTGGGAGGAGGATTTCATATGAGCTGATGATGGAAACAGGAGGGAGAACAAAGGGGAGGGAGATGAGAAGGACCAGGAAGACACAAGAAGAGAGACAGTAATGTGTTGGTGCCCGTGGCTGGGAGGAGAGCATGCACTGGCTCAATATAAGTCTGTCTGATGCAATGCAGTGGGATGGGGGTGAGATAGAAAAGTTTAGGTGCTGGGTGGAGCTGCATTAGGACAAAAGCAAAAATTTCTCAAAACCTTAGCAGAGTCCCAGGCTGCACTTAAGCATAATGAGGACACATCTTCTCACATGGTAATTCACTGTAACGACATGCAGCCTGTTTTGAAGCATCGTGAAAGCCTGGGAGAGCTGGCCGGGACCTGTCTTCACAAGCACCACCCTCCACCCCCCACCCAAAGCAGGTTAGGAAGCACTGATCTACCTGCCAAGTGTGCCTTGATAGAGTGAGCACCTGGGAGCCCAAAGGGGCTTTCTGGACACTGCACCCATGGGCCATCCATACAGGCTTAAGAAAGTTTCAAAGCCATCCATTCTGAAATACCCATTAGGTGAGTCCAGCCTCAGGTCAGCTGGTCAAAGCAGCCATGCTGGGTGTGGTGCAGAGGGAAGGTAGCATCCGTCACCTGAAAGCTTCTGGCAAGGCTGGGGAGCTCCTTGGCAGGCAATACTTCCAAATGACTCAGTAAGTCATGGCTGCTCCTCCCATAGCCCTCCTCCTCATCCAGCCCCCATACTCACCACAGGCCTGCCCATATGCAGTAGCCTGGACAAAGAGCACGTAGAGGGGAGGCGGCAGGTGCCTAGCTGTCTCGTATTGCTTGTGAGCCTGGTCAAATGGCATGAACAAGTACTCCTGCACCGGAAGGGAAGCCTATGCAACAAAAAAGAGTGTTTTTGTTTTTTCTTTTTTAACCGATCCCACATAAGAACATGCAGTTACTTTGTGATTGTATGTAGCTGGGGTACCAGGGTCTGAACCCAGGAATGCTCCACCACTGAGCTACATCCCCATTTCTTTTTGAGACAAAGTCTTGCTAAATCACCCAGGCTAGGCTTGAACTTTGGAATCCTCCTGCCTCAGCTTCCCAAGAAGCTGGGATTACAGGATGCAACACTGTGCCCACTGTATGTAGTTTTAATTTTTTTGTACTAGGGATCAAAAACCAAGAAACTTGACTAAGTTACAGCTCCAGCCCTTTCTTATTTTGAGACAGAGTCTCACTAAGTTGCTTAGGGCCTCACTATATTGTTGATGCTGGCCTTCAACTTTTGATTCTCCTGCCTCAGCCTCCCAAGTCACTGAGATTACAGGTGTGTGCCACTATGCCTGGCCTGTATACAGTTTTTTATTCACAAAGTGATATATGACTAAAAGAATGTATAGGTGGAAAAAGGCAAAATAAATGAATCCATTGTATTTTTTATACCAGTCAGAGAGAAAGAAAATGAAATTATGAAAATATACCATTTCCAACAGCATCAAGTAAACATCAAGGGTATAGGGATAAAGCTCAGTGGTAGAGTGCTTGCCTAGCATAAGTAAGGTCCTGGATTTGAGACTAAGCACCACCAAAAAAAAAAAAAAAAAAAAAAAAAAA